TGAAGCTGGTCACTGGTCTGTGTGTGAGACGGGTCTGGAGCTGAAGCTGGTCACTGGTCTGTGTGTGAGACGGGTCTGGAGCTGAAGCTGGTCACTGGTCTGTGTGTGAGACTGGTCTGGAGCTGAAGCTGGTCACTGGTCTGTGTGTGAGACCGGTCTGGAGCTGGAGCTGGTCACTGGTCTGTGTGTGAGACGGGTCTGGAGCTGAAGCTGGTCACTGGTCTGTGTGTGAGACCGGTCTGGAGCTGAAGCTGGTCACTGGTCTGTGTGTGAGACCGGTCTGGAGCTGAAGCTGGTCACTGGTCTGTGTGTGAGACCGGTCTGGACCTGAAGCTGGTCACTGGTCTGTGTGTGAGACCGGTCTGGAGCTGACGCTGGTCACTGGTCTGTGTGTGAGACCGGTCTGGAGCTGGAGCTGGTCACTGGTCTGTGTGTGAGACTGGTCTGGAGCTGGAGCTGGTCACTGGTCTGTGTGTGAGACTGGTCTGGAGCTGAAGCTGGTCACTGGTCTGTGTGTGAGATGGGTCTGGAGCTGAAGCTGGTCACTGGTCTGTGTGTGAGACCGGTCTGGAGCTGGAGCTGGTCACTGGTCTGTGTGTGAGACTGGTCTGGAGCTGGAGCTGGTCACTGGTCTGTGTGTGAGACTGGTCTGGAGCTGGAGCTGGTCACTGGTCTGTGTGTGAGACGGGTCTGGACCTGAAGCTGGTCACTGGTCTGTGTGTGAGACGTGTCTGGAGCTGAAGCTGGTCACTGGTCTGTGTGTGAGACGTGTCTGGAGCTGAAGCTGGTCACTGGTCTGTGTGTGAGACTGGTCTGGAGCTGGAGCTGGTCACTGGTCTGTATGTGAGACGGGTCTGGAGCTGAAGCTGGTCACTGGTCTGTGTGTGAGACGTGTCTGGAGCTGAAGCTGGTCACTGGTCTGTGTGTGAGACTGGTCTGGAGCTGGAGCTGGTCACTGGTCTGTATGTGAGACGGGTCTGGACCTGAAGCTGGTCACTGGTCTGTGTGTGAGACGGGTCTGGACCTGAAGCTGGTCACTGGTCTGTGTGTGAGACCGGTCTGGAGCTGGTCTGTGTGTGAGATGGGTCTGGAGCTGAAGCTGGTCACTGGTCTGTGTGTGAGACCGGTCTGGAGCTGGAGCTGGTCACTGGTCTGTGTGTGAGACTGGTCTGGAGCTGGAGCTGGTCACTGGTCTGTGTGTGAGACGGGTCTGGACCTGAAGCTGGTCACTGGTCTGTGTGTGAGACTGGTCTGGAGCTGAAGCTGGTCACTGGTCTGTGTGTGAGACTGGTCTGGAGCTGGTCACTGGTCTGTGTGTGAGACGGGTCTGGACCTGAAGCTGGTCACTGGTCTGTGTGTGAGACGGGTCTGGAGCTGAAGCTGGTCACTGGTCTGTGTGTGAGATGGGTCTGGAGCTGAAGCTGGTCACTGGTCTGTGTGTGAGACGGCTCTGGAGCTGAGGCTGGTCACTGGTCTGTGTGAGAGACGGGTCTGGAGCTGAAGCTGGTCACTGGTCTGTGTGTGAGACGGGTCTGGAGCTGAAGCTGGTCACTGGTCTGTGTGTGAGACCGGTCTGGAGCTGAAGCTGGTCACTGGTCTGTGTGTGAGACCGGTCTGGAGCTGGAGCTGGTCACTGGTCTGTGTGTGAGACGGGTCTGGAGCTGGAGCTGGTCACTGGTCTGTGTGTGAGACCGGTCTGGAGCTGAAGCTGGTCACTGGTCTGTGTGTGAGACTGGTCTGGAGCTGGAGCTGGTCACTGGTCTGTGTGTGAGACCGGTCAGGAGCTGGAGCTGGTCACTGGTCTGTGTGTGAGACCGGTCTGGAGCTGAAGCTGGTCACTGGTCTGTGTGAGAGACGGGTCTGGACCTGAAGCTGGTCACTGGTCTGTGTGTGAGACTGGTCTGGAGCTGAACTGGTCACTGGTCTGTGTGTGAGACTGGTCTGGAGCTGAAGCTGGTCACTGGTCTGTGTGTGAGACTGGTCTGGAGCTGAAGCTGGTCACTGGTCTGTGTGTGAGACTGGTCTGGAGCTGGAGCTGGTCACTGGTCTGTGTGTGAGACTGGTCTGGAGCTGGAGCTGGTCACTGGTCTGTGTGTGAGACGGGTCTGGACCTGAAGCTGGTCACTGGTCTGTGTGTGAGACTGGTCTGGAGCTGAAGCTGGTCACTGGTCTGTGTGTGAGACGGGTCTGGAGCTGGAGCTGGTCACTGGTCTGTGTGTGAGACGGGTCTGGACCTGAAGCTGGTCACTGATCTGTGTGTGAGACTGGTCTGGAGCTGAAGCTGGTCACTGGTCTGTGTGTGAGACCGGTCTGGAGCTGAAGCTGGTCACTGGTCTGTGTGTGAGACGGGTCTGGAGCTGAAGCTGGTCACTGGTCTGTGTGTGAGACCGGTCTGGAGCTGAAGCTGGTCACTGGTCTGTGTGTGAGACGGGTCTGGAGCTGAAGCTGGTCACTGGTCTGTGTGTGAGACGGGTCTGGAGCTGAAGCTGGTCACTGGTCTGTGTGTGAGACGGGTCTGGAGCTGAAGCTGGTCACTGGTCTGTGTGTGAGACGGGTCTGGAGCTGAAGCTGGTCACTGGTCTGTGTGTGAGACCGGTCTGGCTCTTGTGTCTCTGCTGAGGATCAGTGCCGATGCCTGTCGTGTCGACGAGGCCTTGTTATTTCTCATTCATTTAGCCACTGTATCAAATAAATACCTAGGTTTGTGTTTCTCTTCTTCTAAGAGAGTCGAAAAGTAGTCGGATCTAGCACTATTTAAGGCCTTTCTGTATGCAGTAACACTATCCTTCCATGAAATGCGAAATACCTCTAGTTTAGTTTTCTTCCAGTTGCGCTCCATGTTTCTGGCTGTTCTCTTAAGGGCCTGAGTGTGTGTGTGTGTGTGTGTGTGTGTGTGTGTGTGTGTGTGTGTGTGTGTGTGTGTGTGTGTGTGTGTGTGTGTGTGTGTGTGTGTGTGTGTGTGTGTGTGAGTGTGTTCGTTGTACCACGGCGTTGGACTATTTTCTTTAAACTTCTTTAAGTGCAACGGAGCAACTGCGTCTAAAGTGCTGGAAAAGAGAGAGTTAAAAGTTTCTGTCGCAATATCGAGTTCTTCTAAGCTATCCGGGATGCTGAGATGATGAAACTGATCAGGAAGATTATTGATAAAGCACTCTTTAGTGGCAGAAGAGTAGGGTGTGGGTCCTGACACTTGTTGTCTAATCTATGTTCTATGAATATGCAAATGAGCCCCGCCTCCACTCACTCACTCAGCTCAGAGATCCACTGGTTGACGATCACACGTTGATCTGATTGGTTACAAGGTCGTTTGTGACGTCAGAAACACCAGCGATTTCAAACCGTGTTTTTGAGACTGTCTTTGGTTCACTGCAGTTTAAGGAGGAAATACTCAGCAATGCTGTCGACTTATGAACTTACACATGGTGTGTCTTAAAGCGTATTAATAACACCACATAGACACATAAACAACATTAAACGCTGGATTTTCACCACAGGGGGACTTTAAAACAATAATGATGTGCACTGCAAAACTATAAACAAGAAAAGTCCATTTTGATTTAATGGCGATTGTAAGTTCATTTTAAACACCATTCTCTCTCTCTCCCTCTCTCTCTTTCTTCTTTTCTCTTTCTTCTGCTCTCTGTGTCTTAGCAACATCAAATCAGATGTGACCGCTCAGCTTTGATGTCGTCCAATCACGTCGCTCGGACGCTTGCTGCTTTTATTTGCCCGGTTTGAAGCCCATTCAGTCATGAATAGATTCTGAATCACATTAGTGCAGTGTTGATTGTTTCCATGACGACTGAACCCCCCCCAAGCCCCTCCCCCTCTAAATAGTTACCCCGCCCCCACACTGCTCAGTTACCCCGCTGCCTCTGTGTGTGTGTGTGTGTGTGAGAGAGAGAGAGAGAGAGAGAGAGAGAGAGAGAGAGAGAGAGAGAGAGAGAGAGAAAGAGAGTGAGTGTGTGTCTCTGTGTGTGTGTATGTGTGTGTGTGTGAGTGTGTGTGTGTGTGTGTGTGTGTGTGTGTGTGTGTGTGCGTGTGAGAGTGAGAGAGAGAGAGAGAGAGAAAGAGAGTGAGTGTGTGTCTCTGTGTGTGTGTGTGTGAGAGAGAGAGAGAGAGAGAGAGAGAGAGAGAGAGAGAGAAAGAGAGTGAGTGTGTGTCTCTGTGTGTGTGTATGTGTGTGAGTGTGTGTGTGTGTGTGTATGTGTGTGTGTGTGTGTGCGTGTGTGTGAGCTGACGGGGGTCTCTGGTGTGTGATATTGATCTGACATTGATGCGTCTCTTGTTTCTCAGAGTCAGACACACACACTGTCATTCGTCTCAGTTCTGATCATCAGATGTTAATCTCATTATGAATCTGGACAGGATCTAAACGAGCTCATCTTAATCAAGCGTGACCTTTGACCTGATGTGGAGTCTTCGTCTGCAGTGATGGACGGATCGAGATATTACCGTCATCCCTGCCGACAGAAACATCTCGCTAATGTTCTCTTCAGGCAAACCCTATTTCTAGATGTTCTCTGAATGTTCAAACCCTCAGTTTTTTTTTAATTTTTTAAAAACTTTTTTTTCTTGGTTATTGTGAACATTGAGAAAACATCAAAGGAACGTTTCAATGTATCATTTTGCAAACATTTGGAATGTTTTCTGAACGTTCTGAAAAAGTATCAAGTTAAACATACATTAGATGAACGTCCAATTAAAATGTTTCAGAAAAACACTCTATGAACAATGAACAAATAACGTTATTTATTAATTTCATATTACACAGGTAAAAAGAGAGAACAGTTTATGTCATAATAAACCCAATTAATGAAAACTACGATAGAGAGAGAGAGAGAGAGAGAGAGAGAGAGAGAGAGAGAGAGAGAGAGAGAGAGAGAGAGAGAGAGAGAGAGAGAGAGAGAGAGAGAGAGAGATGGATCAGGTGTATTTTTATGTATCAGCTGCTCGTGACAAACACACTTGTATCATTGGCTGACAGGTGCATCAGCCAATCAGCGGCTCTCCTCGGCTCCTTCACGTGCCCGTCACCGCGACCTGTCCAATCAGGAGCTCCGCCGAGACGCGTCCGAGCGCGCGAGCCCGCGCTGTCAGTCAGTCAGTGCCGCGACGCGCTGCGGAACGGGCGCGAGAGCTGAAGGTGAACGGAGGAACGGCCGCTTCTGCAGGTGAGAACGCGTTTACTGAGGGTTCCTGTGCGCGAGGAGAGATGCGGTGAGGGTGTGAGGAGGAGGAGGATGCTGATGCTGAGACACACACACACACACACGTACCGCAATGCAGACGCGCGCGCCTGTCTCACAAACACCGATGTTTAGCTTTGATGTGTGTAATAATGAGTGTGTAATAATAAGTGTGTAGTAATGAGTGTGTAATAATGAGTGTGTAGTAATGAGTGTGTAATAATGAGTGAGTTGCGTTGATTCCTTCTGTCGCGCGCGCGTCTCATCGCTCCAGATGATCGTTTATGAGATATTAAACATGCATGAGCATCAGACAGCGATCCCGATGTTTACATGCATCACACCGTTCCTTCTGTCCGAACACCGCGTTATAGATTCAGTTTTCATGTGGATGTTTGGCATATGGAGAGATCTGCATGACGCGGAGCGGTATATATGATGTGTGTAGTTCTATAGGGCGTGTATGGAGATAGAACCCTGTATATGATCCTACACATCATATATGACCCTACTGTATACACGCATGTGTAGGTCATGTGTGACACTGACTGTATGTCCGGTTAATGGACATATTTATAAATGAAAATATTAAAAACAACCCCCAAACCATTCATAGATCTTCCTCATGAATTATTCAGGCGCAACAGCCAATGGCAGGACCCCAGCATGACCTTTAATATTTCTGTTCGTTGTGAAAACTTGTTGTGTTTATTAAAATTACAATATGCAGTTTGGGTAGTAATATTATTGATCTGAGATGAGAACAAAACCTGATCTGAATAATGACTCTGCTGGTTTATGTCATAGGTGTTACATTGTGTCACATGTTAGCAGTGATGATGTGCAACATAAAACTGTGGTTTGACTAAATGTAACGTTGTTTTGGTGAGAGTCTGTTTCTCAGATCAAGAAGTGTGTGTGTGTTAGTGCTGGTTAATGGTTTGGTGTGTGTGTGTGTGTGTGTGTGTGTTAGTGCTGGTTAACGGTTTGGAGTCACGTCACCTTCATTTATACAGCGCTTTAACAGTATAGAGTTTCACAGCAGCTTTACAGTGATAACAGGAGATTACAGTAACAGAGAGTGTTTAGGCTTTACAGCAGCTCTAGAATAAAGTTATTGTCCAGATAAAGTTAGTTTTGATTGATTCACTTCCGTTGTAAAGATCATTAGTTATTAACATATGGGCCGCTAACACACACCGCTCTAACAGAAAACCCTTAACACACTCCGGCCGCTCATTTGCACAAAGCAGTGCCTGGCGGCTCGAGAACGCAAGGCTTGTACCTTGAAAAATTTATAATACAGAATTTTTTATCGCTTCGGCGTAGCCACGCGAACCGGAACTATCCCGACAGTGATTATCTGTACAGAGGAGAAGGAGGAGGCCTTCACAGGGAGAGACCAGTGACACTTCAGGCCTGCGGTGTCGTCACATCCAGGCACAGGTCCTTCATCAGATCTGGAGTGTGTGTGTGTGTGTGTGTGTGTGTGTGTGTGTGTGTGTGTGTGTGTGTGTGTGTGTGTGTGTGTGTGTGTGTGTGTGTGTGTGTGTGTGTGTGTGTGTCCAGACGCAGGTCCTTCATCAGATCTGGATACGGCCTGGATCCGGAGGACTGCGGTAAACCTCGGGATAAACAGAGACTAATATTAGCGTATTAGCGTATTAGCTTATGATGTAACGAGTACATCAGGATTTATGGGAAGTGTGTGTTTCATGCGTGTGTGAGGCGTGTTTCATGCGTGTGTGTGGCGTTTGTGAGGTGTGTTTGAGGCGCTTGTTCAATGCGTGTGTGAGGTGTTTGTTTCATGCTTGTGTGAGGTCTGTGTGAGGTGTGTTTCATGCGTGTGTGAGGCGTGTTGATGGTGTGTGTGAGGCGTGTATTTCATGCGTGTGTGAGGCGTGTTAATGGCGTGTGTGAGGCGTGTTGATGGCGTGTGTGAGGCGTGTTGATGGTGTGTGTGAGGCGTGTATTTCATGCGTGTGTGAGGCGTGTTAATGGCGTGTGTGAGGCGTGTTAATGGCGTGTGTGAGGTGTGTTGATGGCGTGTGTGAGGCGTGTTAATGGCGTGTGTGAGGCGTGTTGATGGTGTGTGTGAGGCGTGTATTTCATGCGTGTGTGAGGCGTGTTAATGGCGTGTGTGAGGCGTGTTGATGGCGTGTGTGAGGCGTGTTGATGGCGTGTGTGAAGTGTGTTGATGGCGTGTGTGAGGCGTGTTGATGGCGTGTGTGAGGTGTGTGTTTCATGCTTGTGTGAGGTCTGTGTGAGGTGTGTTTCATGCGTGTGTGAGGCGTGTTGATGGCGTGTGTGAGGCGTGTATTTCATGCGTGTTTGAGGCGTGTTAATGGCGTGTGTGAGGCGTGTTGATGGCGTGTGTGAGGCGTGTTGATGGCGTGTGTGAAGTGTGTTGATGGCGTGTGTGAGGCGTGTTGATGGCGTGTGTGAGGCGTGTTGATGGCGTGTGTGAGGCGTGTTGATGCCGTGTGTGAAGTGTGTTGATGGCGTGTGTGAGGTGTGTTGATGGCGTGTGTGAGGCGTGTTGATGGCGTGTGTGAGGTGTGTTGATGGCGTGTGTGAGGCGTGTTGATGGCGTGTGTGAGGCGTGTTGATGGCGTGTGTGAGGCGTGTTGATGCCGTGTGTGAAGTGTGTTGATGGCGTGTGTGAGGTGTGTTGATGGCGTGTGTGAGGCGTGTTGATGGCGTGTGTGAGGTGTATGTGAGGCGTGTTGATGGCGTGTGTGAGGTGTGTTGATGGCGTGTGTGAAGTGTGTTGATGGCGTGTGTGAGGTGTGTTGATGGCGTGTGTGAGGTGTGTTGATGGCGTGTGTGAGGCGTGTTGATGGCGTGTGTGAGGCGTGTTGATGGCGTGTGTGAGGAGATGTGAGGCGTGTTGATGGCGTGTGTGAGGCGTGTTGATGGCGTGTGTGAGGCGTGTTGATGGCGTGTGTGAGGTGTGTTGATGGCGTGTGTGAAGTGTGTTGATGGCGTGTGTGAAGTGTGTTGATGGCGTGTGTGAGGTGTGTGTGAGGTGTGTGAGGCGTGTGTGAGGTGTGTGAGGTGTGTTGATGGCGTGTGTGAGGCGCCTCATAGGCGTGTTGATGGCGTGTGTGAGGCGTGTTGATGGCGTGTGTGAGGCGTGTTGATGGCGTGTGTGAGGCGTGTTGATGGCGTGTGTGAGGCGTGTTGATGGCTTGTATGAGGCGTGTTGATGGCGTGTGTGAGGCGTGTTGATGGCGTGTGTGAGGCGTGTTGATGGCGTGTGTGAGGCGTGTTGATGGCGTGTGTGAGGCGTGTTGATGGCGTGTGTGAGGCGTGTTGATGGCTTGTATGAGGCGTGTTGATGGCGTGTGTGAGGCGTGTTGATGGCGTGTGTGAGGCGTGTTGATGGCGTGTGTGAGGCGTGTTGATGGCGTGTTGATGGCGTGTGTGAGGCGTGTTGATGGCGTGTTGATGGCGTGTTGATGGCGTGTGTGAGGCGTGTTGATGGCGTGTTGATGGCGTGTTGATGGCGTGTGTGAGGCGTGTTGATGGCGTGTAGGAGGTGTGTTGATGGCGTGTGTGAGGTGTGTTGATGGCGTGTGTGAGGCGTGTTGATGGCGTGTGTGAGGCGTGTTGATGGCGTGTGTGAGGCGTGTTGATGGCGTGTGTGAGGCGTGTTGATGGCGTGTGTGAGGCGTGTTGATGGCGTGTGTGAGGCGTGTTGATGGCTTGTATGAGGCGTGTTGATGGCGTGTGTGAGGCGTGTTGATGGCGTGTGTGAGGCGTGTTGATGGCGTGTGTGAGGCGTGTTGATGGCGTGTTGATGGCGTGTAGGAGGTGTGTTGATGGCGTGTGTGAGGCGTGTTGATGGCGTGTGTGAGGCGTGTTGATTGCGTGTGTGAGGCGTGTTGATGGCGTGTGTGAGGCGTGTTGATGGCGTGTGTGAGGCGTGTTGATGGCGTGTGTGAGGTGTATTGATGGCGTGTGTGAGGCGTGTTGATGGCGTGTGTGAGGCGTGTTGATGGCGTGTGTGAGGCGTGTTGATGGCGTGTGTGAAGTGTGTTGATGGCGTGTGTGAGGCGTGTTGATGGCGTGTGTGAAGTGTGTTGATGGCGTGTGTGAGGTGTGTTGATGGCGTGTGTGAAGCGTGTTGATGGCGTGTGTGAGGCGTGTTGATGGCGTGTGTGAAGTGTGTTGGTGGCGTGTGTGAGGCGTGTTGATGGCGTGTGTGAGGCGTGTTGATTGCGTGTGTGAGGCATGTTGATGGCGTGTGTGAAGCGTGTTGATGGCGTGTGTGAGGCGTGTTGATGGCGTGTGTGAAGTGTGTTGATGGCGTGTGTGAGGTGAATGTAGAATGTTACTTTTGAATGTTCTCTAAACATTCTGAAACAAGTAGTAGCGTTTAAAAAACGCCAGACAAAATGATACATTTTAGAAAAAAGTTCCTGAAATAATGTTTTTGTGCTAACGTTTTGAGAACGTTATTAAAGACCAGATAACTCTGAACGAACGTTCTGTTAACGTTACTGAAGAACGTTTGCTCATGACTTTGAGAACCTTGAGAGAGCGTTCTGAGAACATTACCTGTGTGTAACAGTGTTATTAGTGTGTGAACTCTAGAGGTTCGTCCTCTCGGCCCTAAAACTGCTCTTCCCAGCATGCATCTGTGCAATAACTGTCCGGCGGAACACACACAAACACATACACACAAAAAAACTCACTCCGCACAACACACACACACACTCACACGGACACACACACACACATGTTGGTGCAACAGCATTATGAGGACTCTCCATAGGCGTAATGGTTTTTATACCGTAAAAACTATATATTCTATCCCCCTACACTGCCCCTATCCCTAAACCTACCCATCACAGGAGACATGCAGCATTTTTAATTTTTAAATAAAACATTGTTTTTTATGTTTTTTAAGCCATTTGATTTATGAGGACTTTTGAAATGTCCTCATAAACCACCCATAAGTTGTAATACCAGTGTAATAC